CTCAACCCACCTTTCTGAAAAATGACAAAAAGGAGGGAAAATTCAAGAAAGTGGTAGAGCAGCGGCCGAAGGTCGTGGGTTCGAATCTCGCTCGTGACACTGACTTTTTATCTCGACCAATACCTTACTTAAAGACTTATAAATGTTATTGGTCCATATCGATCATTTTGGTCTTGTTATCCTTGTTGAATAAGTCTGTCAGTCGCTGACTGATAGTGAGAACGACAATTTTAGAATCAACACTGAAGATGGCGAAATGTCTAAACGAGTCTGACAGAACAACCCAACAAGCTGATCACTGTGAAAACCGGGATAAAAAAATTTCATTGCTTATAAAATACATCAATTGTAAATATACTTTGTTTTATTAATGTAATGAAATAATTAGAAAATCACAAAATAAAGGGATACGCAATATTGAAAAAGATGGAAGGCAAAAATAGCTGAAACCAAGCAAAAAAGAAAGACGTTGGCGTTTAATAAGAAAAGAACTGTTCGGTTTTCATCTCAAATATGATTTTTGAGGATTTTTGAGAAACTAAATTGAACGAGGAGTAAAAAATTCCCTTAACAACGAAAAATATACTAGCAACAATGGTTTTGTGTTTGGACCTTCATACTTTTGATCTACTTCTCAGTTAGTAGAGGGAAGAATTAAGAAAAGGGACACAGTGATGAGACCTAGCATTTCTACCGAACAATGCCTTACTGCCGCTCTGAGATTTTTGGCAACCTTTTGAGAACAGTAGCGAACAGAAGCAGATCGACAGTATAAGAACGTAATGAACCCGTCGGCGCTGATGACGCATCAGCCCCGTTCAAACCTCCACGCTGAAACGCATTTACACTGACGCTTTTGAGCGTAGATTTGCGTGTCCCGCTCAATCGTCGACTCTTGAGCGTACGTGTGAAGGCCCCATTAGCAATCGCCACCTCCAGCAGACATATTTAAGAAAATTCAATGCCCTGAAGATGAGGTCGGGATTCGTTCTTTCTTAACCTCATAATCAAAATTAAAATGCTGAATGACAGAAAATGTCATCTAGTAAGGGAGTAATTGTTTATTAATGGTTTTCTAAACCCAATAGGTTTTGTTATGACCAAGAGTCTGGTAGTAATTTCTTAGAATTTTATCAGTATTCTTTCTCTTTTCTGTCTTTCCTCTCTCTTCTCTCGCTTCTTTCTCTATCTTTTCTTTCTTTCCTCTCTCTTCTCTCGCTTCTTTCTCTATCTTTTCTCTTTTCTCCCTCTTTGNTCCCTCTCTCTCTCTCCTTCTCTCTCTCTCTCTCTCTCCTTTTCTCTCTCTCTCTCTCCTTTTCTCTCTCTCTCTCTCTCTCTCTCTCTCCTTTTTTTTCTCTCTCTCTCCTTTTCTCTCTCTCTCTCCTTTTCTCTCTCTCTCTCTCTCTCCTTTTCTCTCTCTCTCTCTCTCTCCTTTTCTCTCTCTCTCTCTCCTTTTCTCTCTCTCTCTCTCCTTTTCTCTCTCTCTCTCTCCTTTTCTCTCTCTCTCTCACCTTTTCTCTCTCTCTCTCACCTTTTCTCTCTCTCTCTCCTTTTCTCTCTCTCTCTCCTTTTCTCTCTCTCTCTCCTTCTCTCTCTCTCTCTCTCTCTCTCTCCTTTTCTCACTCTCTCTCCCTCTCTCTCTCCCTCTCCCTCTCCCTCTCCCTCTCCCTCTCTTCTGTCATACTTTACATAAAAAACGTATTTTTCAAAAACATCACCTTTGTTTTGATGATAATTGAGACAGGTCCAATTAATTATTTTTAAAAACGAACCCTTTAGTCTAGGAAGAAACATGAATGCGGAAAGGTTAAAAAAAGATGATCGTGCCAGTAATCCTTAGTCATCATTTAAACATCAATTAAACTTCACCAATTAAAGAAAGGTAACATCACTTTGCTCACGGTAAATAAACAGCCGCGTCGACCTGGCCCATGCGTACTTTCTAAAACTAAAGGCAACCTTTTTTGTCCGTGAAAGCTGTACAAACTACCCACGTAACAATGGGTTTTGTACCGGATTGCCCACTTGGGGAGGAAAAATGACACGTACATCCGCTGGCTACCTCAAAATGTGGGTCTCAATTTACTTCTAACTACAACCAAATTGTTACAAAGTATGTGCGACAAAGATTGTATATTTTCAGAGGAAAAACATCTATCACACACTCTTTCTCTCTCACTCACTGACCCATTTTCTCTCTCTCTGTCTCTATCTCTCTCTCTCTCTCTCTCTCTTTCTCTCTCTCTCTCTCTCTCTCTTTCCCTCTCTCTCTCTCTCACACACACATTCGCGCGCGCGCCCACACACACACACACACACACACACACACACACACACACACGTGCGAGATTGTGAATGGTTCAGAGCGTATTTAGTAATAAACAAAAGATTACTTTATGGCCAGCAGTTACATTAAAATTTATCCAGTGGGCTGGGTTGGTATCGTGCTTGACACTTGGGATCATTATAGCTGCCGTTTGGTTGTAAATTGTCAACATTTGGCACAAACGTATTATCGTTGACTCGGACCGTTTGCAACTTCACACTATTAATCTCAAGGCCTTGGCCCACAGCGTTTGGGATTTTACGAGCCGGGTGTATTAAAACGAGGGCGTTGTGTAAAATATTTCTCATACCGGGACTGTAAGGTACAAAATTGTCTGTGAGTATCGCAGAAATGAAGTTTGAATTAATTAGTACAAAAAGCACATCGGTTCAACGAAATAGTTTTATCTCGTACACCTGGTGTGCAGATTCAGCAAAGTAATGTTCGTGTAATATTTTCTTCAATTTTGATAATTTTTAAGTAAGATTTCATAGTGAACCCTAATTTTCTCCTGTATGCAGCTATGATTAGTTAATTCTACAAAGAAGAGACGATTTTTATACATGTCTATTTTAAAAAAATGATTGTAGTGTCCCCATCCAAAATTGACTTTTTTCTCGTACCTATTTCCTGTAATCACCGTTAACCTTTACAGTTATTTTATTCGCTGATTGCGTTTCTGGTAAAACAGATTAAAATATCGTATGGATTACAAATTAAAAATAGTAGGACAAAGAAGCCCTTGCGAATATTGACTGGGAATATAAACTTGGGATTCAGCAGTCTTTTAGCCACCAGGAGAATGGATTATTTTTTAAATAGTTTATAATCTGGTTTCTTTGCTACTATCAACTGGTTTGTAAACTTAACAAAATATCGTATCTTATAGATGAAAAATATGAGTATGATAAAGAAATCCTCTTTCACATACATTTTTAGAATTGAGCTGGCTTTTATCCACCAAGATAATAAATTAGCTACAAATATAAATATTTAATAACTCAGAGCCCAGTTTTGTTCATTTTTTTCCCACAAGAACTAAAGTTAAAATAGTTTCCCACAATAAGAATTGATTGATTGGGGTCAAAGTTTCAGACGAAAATATTTTTAAAAAATCATCTCGAAAAATTACGTTTATTTTCCCGAAAAAAATAATTTTATTAACTGAACAATTATGGCATGCGCAATAAACAGAATGAAAGGTCTTATAGGTTAAAATGGTAGAAGAAAGCCCCGTCATAATGGACAAAATTTAAATTTTTTATAATCTACCTTCACTGCGACGACGCTGCAGCTTATCAGAACATCTTACAGATTAACAATACCAGGGCGAAAAACGTCCCCATGCAGGAGCTTCTTTGAATTCATCTTTTTTATTCACTAGCAGAACGAATTAGCTTCAAATCGAAAGTCAAGTTTCTTTCCGTCCAATGCTAGATTTAAAAACATCCAAATAGCTTGGAGATTGAAAATATTTGGATTAAATGCGGCCCCTTGCGAGAACTCGTTGGGATTTATTGATCTGTCAACCACCAGTATAGATTAGTTCAATTTTTTTTCCAATGTATTTGTTTTGTGACTAATCCCAGACATACACAGCTTATCCAAATATATTATTGCTTAAAAACTTGTGGAGCTATTGACCTGCACTTTCAGTTTTCCAACAAAATGAATGACCTACAAATATTGTACAGATTAAAAATAGTTGGGCTAAGAACGTCACCTTGTAAAAGATCCTTGACATATGAAGGAACTAAGCTATTTTTGGTCTACCAACATAACGAAGTAGCTTCAAATGTTTTGAAATGTACTTTGATTACGCGAATTATTATTGTATTATGCCAGACTTATTTTTTTAAAAATTAGAAATTTAGCAGTTTTTTTATCTATCAGCAGAATCAATCAGCATCGGATCTTTTAGAATCTAATTTAATTGCGACGAATGTCAGACTTATCAAAAGGTTTTATATTGTAGATTAAAATTAATTGGGCTAAGTATGTCACCTTGTAAAAGGCACCTTGGTATGTGAATGAACTAAGCATTTTTTGATCCACCAGCAAAACCAATTAGCTTCAAATGTTTTAAAATGTGCTTTCATTGTGCGATTAATGCCAGGCTAATACAGCCCTTAAAATATTTTATTTTAAAGATTAAAAATAACGTCCCCTTGCACGAACCCCTGGATAGTTTTTTGTCCATCTGTGTGAATCTAGATAAATTGGGACTAAAGGTTGGTTCTACTCTCAGAATTTTAAATTCTGTGAGTGGAACCATCTTTTACAAAAAGTGTATCGACATACTCACCCCGCCTTCATTATTTCTACTAATGTCAGACTTACAAAAGATTTTATATTGTAGATTAAACATAGTTGAACTAAGAACGTCTTGCAAAAACTTGTAAATTCAACGAATTTTTTATCCAGAGTGAAAGGAGTGAGCTCAATTTTTTTTTGTTCGACGAATGACAACTAGTGCCAAAAATGATGCCTTGCAGGGCTCTTTCAAAATTTTTCTAGTAATGGCTTTCTAATTCGTTCATTTGTTATTTTTAATTAAGCATAACTTTAAAGCATGTACATTTTTCATTATATTATTTTTTTAAGTTGCGATATCGTCAATTTTCAAACGAATATTTAACTAACTGATCCATTAATCGATGTTATTTTGTTTCAGGTTTTCTTCCCCGATATCGAGAGAGCCGAATGGGTTAACAGGGTAAGTTTAGGGTAAATCGATAGCACTTAAAAAAATTAAAACCCTATTACCGCTCCATTTTCCTTCCATAATAATTCTCAAAGCCATCGGCTGGACGTTGGAGCCGTGGCATCTCGCTACAACCCATTTTCTTGGTCGTTGCCCCAATTTGTTATCAACTGGGGGGGGGGGTCAGTTAGACAAAGTTGTTCATGTAAGAAAATTTATCAAAAATGTTTTAACAAGTTTGTTGTTGCTTTTTTTTTACAATGAGATTAGTTAGGTTTGTTCTGGGTCATCAACCGAAAGATTAACTTTTGTCGAGTAATCATTTTGTTTTTTTAAATGAGGTTAAAATACTTTAAAACTGTTTTAGTCATGTCATTTTTTCTACCATTCTTGAAAATTAGTTTTTATTTAATCACTTTTAATTAAGTAGTATTACGGTGTCCTTTTTAGATAGCTCGGCTGAATTTCTCTTGAAGTTTATCGAAAAACCATAAAATACGTATTTAATATTTTTAGTCGTATTAAATTTTTACGGCTTTTTTAAAAATATTTCTTGTCAGGGTACATAAAACCAGTACAACTTGGAAATTGTAATTGAGAACATATACTCTTTTAAAGGACTTTTTACACTGAAAATTATGGCGCAATCAGATTGTAAATTGGTGAAGGATTATCAAATTTATTGTACAAAATGTGATATGAAAAATCTTAATTTCGTTTTTTGTTTTCAAAAGTAATTTTTTTGTTAACTTTTTCATCTCAACCTTACATAAAAAGAATTAATTAATTGAAATAATTAGTATGGTCAATTAGATCGCTAAAGATAAATGGATTGTTATCAATAATATACATGAAAAACATAAAATAACAATACATGCAAACATAAAGTTACAAAACATTCTCGTAGTAACATAATATTCTCATTTCCCAGGAGTCCACACCACACATTTATGCTATGGACAATTTAGTGATAACATGGATACTCAGTTCAGTGATTTTACTATGCCCACTTACAAATACCACGTTGAAATGTAATCTTCCAGCACTAGATGAGAGAAGGGTTTTTTTATTTATTACATCTTCACAATATAATCAATGGGCGACTAAATTTCATGTCATTTCATGTATCACTTTCAATGTCCCAATAAATGCTACCAGGCAACCATCTATGTTTAGAGCACCCTTTTGTAAAACAAATTACATATTTTATTCACCAATAAATATAATGATTATTTGGAGATCGTGAAATGCGCTCTGGTGTGACGAAGATTTAGAAAAACCTTTCCTTTATCGTGCCAATGTTTCGATCTTTATTTAGATCATCTTCAGGGCTCAAAGTGTTTGTTTTCTGTTGCACTCTAAACACGACACATAAGAATGACACATCTACACAGAAAACAAACATTTTGAGCCCTGAAGATGATCTCAATAAAGTTCGAAACGTTGGCATAATAAAGAAAATGTTTTTCTAAACCCTACGTCACACCAGACCGCACTTCACGATCTCCAAATAATCACTGGCTAACGGTCACTAAATACTACACATTTCACACACGTTTCGATCTTCATTCAGATCATCTTCATGGCTCAGTGTTGTTTTTTTGTTCAGTAGCTATACGCCACTCTCAACAGGACACACAAGAATGACACATCTACACAGTAAACAAACACTTTGAACTCTGAAGATGATCTCAATAAAGTTCGAAACGTTGGCATAATAAAGAAAATATTTTTCTAAACCCTACATCACACTAGACCGCATCTCACGAACTTCAAATAATACTTTTCCAGTAAAGTTTAAGTTCGTATTTTTTATTTTTTTTTAATTATAGTGGGTTTGATTTTATATTTGTAAGTTAATTGTTTCGACATTGGAATTTCATAAAACAATAATCGTATTTTGAATAAAATAAAATTAGACAAGAGAAACGACACTAGAGCCTAAAATAAAGGCTGAATTAAGAGGCATACTTCTTTTTATGAGATTTTCAAGAATACAAACGTATGATGTATGTTCCTTACAACAACCTCAGCCTTCCCATATTAGTCCGAGCAAAAACTACAATTAAAGCAAGGGTAGCATTTGAAGTCAATGTACTGCAAAACTAATTTGATTTATTGGCCTTTTATTGTGGAAAAAGACAAAGAGATATTTTTTTACATTAGAGGAATATGGCATTATGTTTTACGATACTGTTTACATGGATTTGCCGTCCCAAATCGTCCTGACAAAAGAGGTTATTTATCGCGAAAGATAAAGCTTAAATAACATTCTTGTAACGACTGTAATATTTATGCAAAAATCGAGTTTTCATAATAGTATAAACGACGGAATAATTTTTTTTTTAATTTCTCTTAATTGCGCCACGTCGGCATGAGAATTTAAGATCAACTTATAATAAGTTTTTGTTCCGATGGGGGAAAGAGGACGAAGATCGATCAAAGCTCCAGTTAAGGATATCTGTAGCTAACTTTGACAGATGTGTAACTCTAAACGTATTATTACGAATGATAGAACTTTATTGCACAAGTATTCCAATATTTCTTAACCTCTAGGAGTAGAGGGGATGGATTTTTTTTGTATTATGTTAGTCTTTATTCGGATTTTTTTATTCGCAAAACAAATTTTATACCTCCATAAAGTCAATACGTTCCATTTAGCAGTTGCAGAATATTTACATGTCACGATTTTGTCGGATCAAATTTTTACAATGGAGTCGCTTTTTTCAAAATCTTACAAATGAATGACTTATGAATATAAACAACCCCATTAGAGTTTGTGGTCCGATTGACCGAATTACTTTTTTCAATTAATTAATTTTTACGCAAGTTATTGGTTGAGATAAAACGTCAGTGTCACGAGCGGGATTCGAACTCACGACCTTCGGCTCAATACGCTGCTGCTCTACCACTGGAGCTATCGTGAATTCGATCCACTCGGACCCCAACTTCCCATCTCAACCCCACCTTTCGAATATTCCCTCCTTTTTGTCATTTTTTAAATGTCGTGTAATCAATTCGATTCTCGGTGACAAATGAAATGGCCACGGAGAGCTTTAGTGAAGATATACTGATTAAATACATTAGAGTTCGTGGTCGACTGACTGAATAACTTTTTTCATTAATTAATCTTTAGGCAAGGAATTGGTTGAGATAAAAAAGCCAGTGTCACGAGCGGGATTCGAACTCACGACCTTAGGCCGCTGCTCTACCACTTGAGCTATCGCGACTTCGATCCACTCGGGCATTCAATTACATAGACTGAATAACATTTTTTTACTTATATTTATCGTACCTCTCAATCACCATCCTTGAGTTTTCAAGATTATCAGAAAAAGTCTCGTTTTAATTATTTAAAAAATAATAATGAACAGAAAAATGACAAAAATTTACATTATTTAAGGGTTGATGGGTAAACAGGAAAGGTTAAACTACTGTTGCTGCATTTTTTTTTTTTTTAATTCACATGTAAAACAAAAAGTCTAGTTTACAACCATATTCATCATCCATTATGTTTAATGGTCTAATTGACCAAATTACCTTTTTCAATTAATTATTCTTTTTATGTAAGGTCTTGGTTGAAATAAAAAAGTTGGTGTCACGAGCGGGATTCGAACCCACGACCTTCAGCTGTTTCAATAGGTTGCATGAATAAAACAATAACCACAAAATTCACTAGTTTTCGTGGTCCGCTTGACCAATCAATATCTTTCAATTAATTAAGATTTTTAGTTGAGATAAAAAAGCCAGTGTCACGAGCGGGATTCGAACTCACGACCTTAGGCCGCTGCTCTACCACTTGAGCTATCGTGACTTCGATACACTCGGGCACCAACTTCCTATCTCAAACCCACCTTTCGAATTTTCCCTCCTTTTTTCCATTAGCGTAAAGATTAATTGAATATAAACAACATTAAAAAAGTTTTATGGTTCTGAAACACCACTGAAGATGGCGAAATGGCAAGACATGAGGATAGGCAGAACAAAATGAACTGTAGCGACCAAATTATAGGTTCATCACAAACCTTATAATTTTTTCTCACATCATAAAGCTGTTGAAGGACTCCCGTGTGTATCCTTCATGTCTTGGCTTTTCCTCTCCCAATAGTAATCTCAGCCTGCATCCTCAGGATATATCCGCTGTTTCTTCATCCTGGCAATATCTGCACATGCTTGTTTCTGCTGCTCCAAGGCTATATGGTATGCCTCCGTAGTCCGCAGTGTCCAGTAAGCAGCCAACTATCATTCTAGTCCTATCTACTAGAAATATACGAACACAATTCATTTAAGACATTATTCGATTAAAAAGCAAAAGAACCGAAGATCATAAGGACTTAACGGAACAATAAAATACCAAAACTCAATCAGTCAAAAACACAAAGATATCTCCAACACAATCATTCCTCATTCAATAAAGCGGACAAGAATAAAAAGGAATCACACTGAAGATGGCCGAAGCGTGAAAGACCAACCCGATGACGATATGCAGACCTATCGTAACGACCCATTTACTTCCCCACCCCGCAGAAAAATCCCATGTCTAGTCTATGTTAAGTAAAACAGGGCCGTGGCCATCCAGATCAAAGTGTTCTAATATTCCATCTCCATTATAATCTATCGTTAAGCTTGGAAAATGTTATCAGAGCTTAAACTCTTGTCAAAAGTTCCTTCAAGACTTGGCTTTTTCTCTCCTTGGAGCCTGCATAGGCCACCAACAGATAACATTTCTGCTGTTTATGCTTCTGGCAATTCACACGCTTGTTTCTGCTGATCCGAGTCTATATGCTTCAGAAGTCTGCAATGTCCAGCCTGTTCAACTATCATTCCTATCACCTCCTAGGTTTAGTAGTTCTGACTTTAGGTCTTGCGATGGTCCTTTGGCGCACGTTTTCGCATGCTCATATCCCATTGGGGGATTTGATGGATCTTTTGACAATTTGGTGTGCCGCAAAATGGTTCAGAGACAATAGTAGTCCTGAAGGAACTTTCTTTGACGTATGTCACCGCAGTTTTTTTACTCGTATGTATCAGATGTATACAGTCATACTTACTTGTATCCTGTTGGTTAAAATAAAT